ACTTCTGACACCAATTGTTACGATTATCCTCGAAACCTTGAGGGATTACCCAAATATACTCGGGCTCGTATCGCTGGATTGTTAAATAAATGCTAACGATGACCGAATTGTAGTACAATTAACTTTATTGTACAACAAACAATTTACAATTCTTGCTAATACAGTAAAAACACTTTACAATACTTGTTAAAGCAATAACAACGCTTTACTACTTGTTAACACAATTAATCTTATAGCTTGCTTATTCGCAACTCGATTCTCCGCTCACTTTACTTGTAGCTTGCTGACTTGTAACTAACTCACCTCGTGGTGGCGGCGCCCTTATATACCTGCGCTGGCACTTATGGCAACTCTAGAACATTCTGAAGTTTATCGCTCATTCTCTTTCTCTCGCTGTTCGCAGTGTTCATCCAACTTGACGTTCCTCTTTGTGGAACATTCTACGTCATTCTTCGAACATTCTGCCTATTTCTCGTTGTTCGCTTTGTGTTGCCGCAGTATTCGCCACAATACTAATTAAGTCGTGTAAGAAGTTGCCATTGGATGGGTGGCAACTTCGCTACTCATGTGCATATTTTTCCCCCACGCGGCAGACACCTTGTCGTAAGCGATTGTATTCCGATCGCTGGGTGTGGGGGCTTAAGCTACTAAATACATATTTCTTGGTAGTAACTAAGTCTGCCGTCATCTTCTCATATATATATGAGCTAAATTTTCGTTATTTTTCACTTTATTTCAGAAGCTAATTTATTAATTTCGTTTTTTTTCAGATATTTATGCTCATTTTTATTAATATTTTATATTTTATGTACATATTTTTAATAAATTTACCAATCAATTCGATATTAATAAATAATTATAGTAAATTTTAATTTCATCTTCTATTTTAATTCAGCTATTTTTTATTTACAGGTTTAATATAATTTCATTCATATAAATATTATACTAATTGTATTATTTGTGTTTTATATAATAAACCTAAATCTAAAAAGTACATATTTGTGAAGTTATTTCTGTCATCGAATTTTTCATTCTGCCAAAAAGACAAACGCGTAAAAATGTAAGTATGTATGCATTTATAAATGTACATATATGTACATACAAATGTGCGATTGGTCGGCTTTCGTCTTCCCCTCGCCGCTGCCATCAACACAAATTATTCAATTTCTGCGAATCGGCACCGGATTGGCACGTGCGCGAAACCATTAACCCCGAGTTTACGAAATATTTAGATTTTCGCATAAGTTTGCATTTAATAAAGCAATACTAGTACATTTTGTATGGTGAATAATATTAATTAATTTAAAATTCTGCATGTAACCATTTTCTCGACGATACATGTAACTTTCATAAAGATTAACCATAAAAAGCGTTGTAAAATAGTGTGTTATTAACAGCTGGAACGAAAAAAAATTGCTACGCTCAAATGGTTAAAAACCAACTGGAATTGACATTTTTTACACGCATACATGCATACATTCATATACACATGTACAGTGGAGTAGCACTAGCTTGAACGTTGCATTGCTTGTACTTTGATGTGTTTGAATCTTTTATGGTACTGAAGAATTGCTTACGGATGAAAAATATTAAAAATCGTCCGTGCATATATGTAAATATATTTTTATAAACGCTTGGAAGTATAGAAATTTTTAATATTAAAAAATAAATAAAATAATTTTTTTGTATATATGTAAATGGTGTTCAAGGCACATTGACCCACCTGTGGCGCGGCATGGACGAAAATTTTACAATTTCGGACCGAAAAATATGAAAACGAGCTAAGTTGCCACGTTACATCTGTGAACTTCCGATAAAACCTCATATGTTTGTGATTTTACAAGTTTTGATTTTATTAAAAAAAAATTAATGTATTTTCCTGCAGAAAACGTACACTTTTATTTAATGTTTATTAAAATTACACTTTAAAATACTAGTTAATGATTGAAATATTGGTATGGAACAGAGAAATAGAGTGTTTTGTCAAAAATTACCAAAAATTGCCAAGATTCGAGATAACTTATTTTACTGGTTATAGAGAAATAGTTGCCACTTTTCACTTGGCTGGCCGAGATTTCTTCATTTTAAGATTTTAGAATTTTTGTGTCGGATTGACAAAGTTGCGCTTGTTGGTGATGAATTTGCGGGGAGATGTGCTGCGGTTGTTTTTATGAATGAATTTACTTGGCCTTGAGAAATATGCGCATGTGTTTATGAATGAAATAGTTATTGTTGTACATATTTGAATATGCGCGTAATTATGTACATATATATGTATGTATGTATGCGGAGTTGTACATATGTACATATGTATGCATTAGCGTACTATTAGGCAGAAATATGCACATACGTTTGTATGTACATATGTAGTGCATATGTAAGTACATACATACCATGTATACGCATGCGTGAGAAATAAAGTCGTCTCTAAAGTTAGTTGCAGCTTTTTACAGATATTCCATTGAAAATTAAGTCGAAAAGCTGTAACTAACTTTAGTTTCGACTTTATTTTGACTATGAATATGCCCCATTAATTACATACATACATATGTATAATACAAGTATTGCAGTGAAAAATGATCATTCTCAAAAATGATATTTTCTCGAAATATATGTTCATAAATGTTCATAAACATAACTTCTCGTGAAAAACTACTTTGAAGTTAACAAGTGCAATTAATGCATTTGTACGTTTTTTGTCAATGTGTTTATATTTATAGCAAATTTGCTAGCAAGAAAATTGCGGTTTCTTGAATTGAAAGGAGCGTAGCAATGGTTAAAAAAAATAAAAACCGACTTTATCTTCGCTTTTAAATGCTGACAACAAATTATCAAAGATCATTATCATTTGCACGCTTTTTTTTTTGTCAAAGCGTCCCTTTTTAAAGTGGATTTGTGAGAAAACTAAGGCAGCTAGAAAACTGCGGTTTATTGCATTAAAAATAGCGTAGTAACTACAATAAGAATCGTTAAAAAATAAAAAGAAATTTTGAATTCGTTTAAAAATGCCGACGGCAAATCATCAAAAAGTTGCTCCCATTGCAAATGTTAGTATACATTTGCATAATTTTCACATATCTACTTTTTGCATTGCACAATCGTAAAAGCACACATCGTCACATTTGTATCTTCGCACAAGAAATATTCATATATCCAAAAATATATTAACAAATACGGGTTTTTCAATAATTGGTTGATGACATTTTGGTGCTTCTGGAGCTAGATTTAGCTCTATTTTTCTATTTAGCTCCGAAAATCCGAAAACCCTAGCTCTTTTATTAGCTATTTTCATATTTATGTAGCACTTTTTTAGCTCCAGAAAGTTTTAGTTGTATTTGGTATATATAAGCCATAACTTAAGCGTTGATAAAATGGATAATTTCGAGATGCAGTGTGTCCACCATAAGCTCTTGAACCTAGGTTAAAGAATTCAAAAATTAATTAAAACAAAATCCTTTTTATGATAGCGCGGATTTTGTTTTAGCTTACTACTTTTACCTTAGAGGAGAGCTGGAAGTAAAAGTTTCAACAAAAATTTTGCTTAAAATTATTTAAGAGCGTGTGTGAATCGATAAAAAAATTCCCGCCGAATAAATTTTTAACAACTATGAGGTGAATAAAATTTCAGTAGCTCATGAGGCTAGTGAAATTTTTAACAAATGCATAGAAAATTTGGACAATCGCAAAGATCGTTGATGTGTGTAATTTTTCGTTAAATAAAAGCTTAAATTGATGAATTGCAATCAACGACGGTAGATGTGTTCTTAAAATATTAATTTCACTGCAATTTGTAATATTTTATTCCGCATAAATCTGTGGTTATCAAAAATGAACTGCTATCAAAAAATATTGCATTTCACACAGCAGATTGGCAAAACTGTCTCACCATAGTAAAAATATTATTCAGCAGCTCTGCCCATAGAACTTTGTTACCGATTCACACACGCCCTAATTCAAATATCTGAAATTACAGACT